AAGTTCTATACAATCTGGGTCCAGACTCTGCCTTTTGAAACTTCTTCTGAATATAGGATTTGCTCACCTACGAGAGTGAAGGCACATCTCTAGCTGTTTTCAGGTTCTGTTGATGTCATTTAGAACCGACTAATAGGGGAATAAATATCACAAACAAGAAATTATGGAGTTTATTGTTACTGAGTTTTTTGTAGTAACAGAGAGGAAACTGAAGCGCTTATTAGGTAATGCTTTGAAGAATAAATTAGAATGAGAATGATTTACTTAATGGAAGTAAATTTCAAAAATACTCAAGAACTACCCTTCAAATAGACACTAAAATGAAATAAAGCTCAAGATCAATGAGAAAATCATTCTCTCACAATCTCCATTCAGCCCCCTTCCCACATCCAAAGAAGGTTCAGTTCACTCACATACACAACTCAGTGAAAAAGTAGGGTAGGATTTTATTTTCAAATTGGCTTCACCAATGAATACCTTTGCATTCATTTATAAAAGAATATGAACCTTGTATAACAAATAAGAAAAAAATACAAAGCAATATTGTTAATCAACAGGAAAAAAATACGTGAAGATCCAGTATGAAAAGTGTCTCAACTGACATTGGGAGTAAGTGAAGAATAGCCTCTCCATATCAGTAATAGGAGGCTAGAGTAAAATGCTCGCAGGATCTTCACTTAGGTTTCCTACAACAGAAAAATCAGATTGTAGGAAACTATAAGACCTTGTAAGAGAGATTTGGCTCAGTTTTGGTAATCTTTGACAAGTTGTGGAGGAAAGAATACTCAAAGCAGAAAGGAAACATCTTTGTTCTAATTTTCATAAAAAGTAAGCATAAGTGTAGACTTACTTTCTAGAAACACTGGAAATTATTATAATAATATTTAAACTCCTAGAGAAGATATAAAATGGGAATTATCCATTTCCCCAAGAAATACCTCTGTTAAATGTGCTGTCCCAGACTATTTGCTCTGCTTTATCTTAAATTCCAAATGGCTGCAAATTGCCTTTCCTCTGTCTCTTTGTCCCGTCTGTCACCTAGAATCAGCCAATGGGAGACACTGGTGAAAAGCTAGGGAATGGAAGGAAAAGAGAGGCAAATGCTTACAAGGAAGGGATGAGGAGGTATAAGAAAAAAAGCAATGGGCCCGGGAGGTTGGCTCATTGGTGGAGTGCTTGTCTTGCATGCATGAAGCCCTGGGTTCGATTCCTCAGCACCACATAAACAGAAAAAGCCGGAAGTGGCCTTGTGGCTCAAGAGGTAGAGCACTAGCCTTGAGCTGAAGAGCTGAGGCACAGTGCCCAGGCCCAGAGTTCAGGCCCCACAACCGACCAAAAAAGAAAAAGAAAAAAGCAATGATAGCATTTCTTTCATCTTTCAACCCTCTTCACAAAGACTCACTCTGTTTTCTTTTATTAGTTAGCTAGACCCTATGAACTTCCACCAAAGCTCTCTGCTATTACTAATCTCTGGGATGCTTCCTCACTTCCTGTACAAATTCCCTGTACTGTAGTTATACTTTAAGTAGTTTCTATTTACCTAGACCCTAAGTTCACAAGCCAGCCTCTTTTTGTATTTTTTTATAGCTATGTTAGATTAATAAACAAGCTAAGAGAATGCTGTTGACATACTATAGCCAGATAACAGCAAGACATTAGACAGATAATCTTATAATGTCTCTCTGAACAGAATATGGGAATTTATTAACATTATTATTAACATTCTTAGATTGTTGCAGTTTATTAATGCTCAAAAATACCTGATAAAAAGCTGCTTCCCCAAATTCCTATCCTTGACCATGTTTTATTCAGCATAGTTACCAGTGATTTAGACAAGAGCATAAAAAGCATCTCTATCAAATGTTTGTATGCCAAAACTAAAAGCTAATTCCATTTTTGAAAGAATAAACTTTATAAGGAAACAGGGTTTTCTGCTGTGTATGAAATATAAATTATAAAAATATAAGAGGCAATAAGCTTTCCAGTATATTATTATGTAGGAATGAAATCTGGATTATAATGAGTACAAGCTCCATATGAAGAAGAAGTATAATATGTTTAGGACCAAGAAAAAAAAGATTAATCTCTTGGCCCCATTAAAAAATGCCTAGTGTCCCTACCAAATGAAAATATTTCTCCTCATCTTGTGTAAGAATGGCTTAGGAACATAATGTAAGAAAGATATTGCTGAGTTGAAATACCACTTTTCTCAATTCTTGTAAAGCTTTGTGTCATTTGCAAACTGTGTTTACACACACGCTTGCTTTTGCCTCACAGTACCCCAATGTAAGTTACACTGTTACTCCATTTCTCAGTCTGTTTGTTCCTATCGATTCAAATTCCATAACTCAATGTGTATCTTTAAAGCTCGTGTGCTTGTTTATGAGACTAGTCTTTTCAGTAAAGCCTATTCTCACTCCCGTAAGACTAACAAGATGATCTATTTTGCTTACTATTAAAATAAATCAAGCATACCTGCTCTGTGATAGAGTAATAGATTCATAATCTTTGTGCAAATATTAACTGGCTCAGGAAAACTATAGTAAGTGAATTCCTGCATTGGGAAGGTTGTATTAGACAAATCAGATGACCTCTAGAGTGACACCAACTCTTGAGAGTCTGATTCGGTTTTTGGCTCATGAATAGATTTATGTTTTCTCGTTCTTAAGTTAAAAATATTTGTTTTACTTTTATAATTTCATCTCCAGAAATGTAATTGTTTTTCTGGTAATTTAAGATTAATGTATTCTATCTGTGAAGAAACTTAAGAGCCTGGAAGAGGAAAAAAAGCATGACTAGTGTTTTTGTAATTACTGACACAAGAAATATTATGCTATTTCCCAGAATATGTCCCCCGAGTGAATGTCTGCATGTGTTCCATTTCATTCCTAGCTCAGAATCCTATCAAGGATGATAAGGAGAATCATTTTGAAATATATTGAAGTAGAGAATAGAGTTTGCAAAGTATTATTAGGTTTGCTAAATTGAACCTGTACAAATGCAAACTGTCAGTATACCACTGTAAAAACCAACACTTGAATGATAAAAGGTCCTGGAAATGACCTATTAAAGGCCACCAAAATGACAGTAGTTGGAAAAGCATAAACTTTACTTTGATAATACCTTTCTGGTCTTCTTTCTGAAACTAGTATAGTCTCTTGGTTCACATATGATAGTTATTCATGAAGGGTTAAGAGGATTGAAAAAGGAAAATAAAAATTATTTTAAAGTACATAGAAAAACAAGAAATTGCCCTATAAGAACAAAATATGGCATAAAGTAGATGTGTCAGTGTTGTAAATTAACTACAGATAACATTTTGCTTTGGACTTAATTCTGGTTAGCTTAAAAAAAATTCTGTCTTTATAGTTTCTTGCTGAGTTCTAAAAGATGACTTTCTTGAGATCCTGAGAATTTAAAAAAAAACAATTCTGTTGTGAATCCTTCATATTTTAGATCTTGTCTAAGAATGGTGAAAAGGGCTGAACACCCTTGTCATATTTTTTTTTAAATCCGATATCTGTCCCCCATATCCCTGCTTCAATTTCTTCCCAATCTAACTGATCATAACATAGTTCTCCCAGAAAGGGTTGTGATGCATTGACAGTACTGAAAGGAAAAAAAAAGATGGGACAATAACATCTGATAGAATTTAATTCTCAATGTATTACCCATTTTTTAAAAAAATGAATTTTATAAATGTTAATAATCTCTAACAATTTGCCATTTGGTAAAATCATTTTTGAAAACAGATCAGTTTCCTACAGACATGCTTGATTTTGTACTGACTCAGCAAGCCCCAATACATCTTGTTCTCCAAGAGCTGAGGCAAAGCCATTTCATGTATTATGGTTGGGACTTCCAGAGCGGTCCTTAGCCAGCTCAGCATCGTCAGTGTCTTGATAAATTCCTCGAGGGCAGAAATCAGATCGCACTGATTGTTGCATGTTTAGGGGCCTTCTTGGTTACCTGGTATTTGGGAACTTATAACTTGATGTATTACAAATTGATTTTACAAGAAGTTGCAATTTCCCCATCTAGAAAATAGCCTTAGAGTACAGTTTCATTATATGAAGTTGGAGAGGAAGATGGCAGCTTTCCCCTTGGATGTCCTATTTGTGAAATTTGGAGATTTTTGGATGAATGATTTTAAAAGTTAAGCAAATTGAGACCATATGTGCAAAAGTAGCACAGGAAATATATCTTATGCAATGTGCATATTCAAATATATGAACATTTTAATAGCAAAAAAAAGCATGAATACTCACAGTAAGTGAGATGAACTGTTTAAAACATTAAACTGTTTCGGTTGATTTAGGTCAGAATATAGCCAAGTAAGTTCAGCTCATCCTATTTGCCACCAAATAAGATTGAACAAACTTGGCTTTCATTCAGAGCTTTTGTTTTTAGAGTTGGTTTTAGAGTTTTCTGTTTGCACATGAATCAAATCTGTGGTTTAATGAATCATACCATTTCTATACAAATGGAAAAGTGGAAGTTATTGTTGCTTTCCTGGTTTTCAGAGGGGGATGGTAGCAAAAGTCTAAACAGTTTTAGGATAATAAAGTACTTAGACGTCACAAAATTCTCACCAGTATAATTGTTCCATTTTATAAAGGTCACAGCCAAGTGAAGGGTGAAGTGACTCATTCTGTACCACAAAGTTCATAATTAGTAAAACTGAAAGTTAAACATGAGTCTTTCAACTAACTTTTCAGCCTATCCTCTTGCCAAATCTTACTTTCATAAGAAAATTTTTCATGATGCTAAAAAAATGATGATTCAGATACATTTATATGAAGATCAATGAGTGTATCACATTGCCTACAACTTTTTATTCATTTGAGACATTTTAGTTAGTTGGCAGAAGTAGACTGACTGTTGCAAAGTTTGAGCTTTGTGTAAAAGGAATAAAATGTAGAAGTGAAAACTAATTCTGATTACGGAATTATGAGGATTTGTTTGTCTTGTTTTCTCACATTTTTGTTTTAACTATTTAGATGTGCTTAGCCTCAGAGGGGGTAAAAATGGAAGATGCAAAAGAATGGAAGAAAGCGAAAGAATCAGATGGTGGAAGAATCACAGAATTGGAGAAGGGACAGGAAGAGAGAGAAATAAAAATGGAGAAAACACATGAAGATGGGTTACAAAAGGAAGCAGAATTTGAAAAATCATTTAAAGATAATGTAAGAGAGGCTAAGGAATTGAGAAATTTTGAAGAGCTACAAATGGATGATGTAATGGCTATAAAAATGGAAGACCCCAAAGAAATTAGGAAAGAAGAATTAGGGGAAGACCAAAAATATAGTCACTTCCCCGATTTTTCTTATTCTGCCAGTAGCAAGATAATAATAAGTGATGTTCCCAATAGAAAGGATCATATGTGCCACCCTCATGGGATTATGATCATTGAGGATCCTACTGCCCTAAACAAACCAGAAAAGCTGAAGAAGAAAAAGAAGAAAAGCAAGGTAGATCGACATGGAAATGATAAATCCACACCCAAGAAGACTTGCAAAAAGAGGCAGTCTTCCGAATCTGACATTGAGAGTGTCATATATACCATTGAAGCTGTTGCAAAAGGAGACTGGGGTGTTGACAAACTTGGAGATGCCCCAAGAAAGAAGGTCCGCACCTCTTCAAGTGGCAAGGGAAGCATTTTGGATGCTAAGCCACCAAAGAAAAAAGTGAAATCAAGAGAGAAGAAAATGTCAAAGGAGAAATCCTCAGACATCACCAAAGAGTCAAGACCTCCAGATTTCATTAGTATTTCTGCCAGTAAGAGCATTTCTGGTGAGGTGCCAGAGGGTATAAAAGCAGAACCATTGACCCCCACGGAAGATGTACTACCACCTAACCTTTCTGGACAAGCCAAGCCAGAGGACAGTGAATGTCACAGAAAAATAGAGACCTGTGGCTCCAGGAAATCCGAGAGGTCTTGCAAAGGTGCTCTTTATAAAACCCTGGTGTCTGAGGGCATGCTCACCTCTCTGCGAGCTAATGTTGACAGAGGTAAGTGACTTTAATAAAAAGAATATGAAAAACATGCAGCATTTCTCCTTTAGACCTGTTGAGAAAAGATAGATAGATACTGTATTGTTCTTTATTGTATCAAAATAACCTTGTACCATTGTATCAAGGTTTCATGTAGTTTATAAATAATATCCATTTGTCAATTTACCTTCATATTTTCAAGCACTATTAAGGAGAGTTCACTATTTTGTAGGTAATTCTCATGATAGAAGTACCCAGATTAAGTTACCATTTTATTTTTGCCAGTATGAGTTCATTGTTTTGACAATCCAGTATTGATTAGAACAGTGTGTGTGTGTGTGTGTGTGTGTGTGTGTGTGTGTGTGTGTGTTTTAACTGATGGAGTTTCTTGAATGATACAGATAAGCTGAATATAGATCTTGCACTATGGGTCCAGAAGTGAACACCCTGTCTATCCCTTTCCATTAGTTATTCAAAACAAATTGAATTTTCTTTAGAACTTGACATCACCCAGAAACTAATTAATATATAATAAATGAATTAATATACATTTCATAAACTATTCCTGTAAATTTATCTATTTTAGAATATAGCATCTGGCTAGGGCACTATCTCTTGCCAATTATATTCCAGCAGGAGATATATGAGTCTTATGTCTAATAAGCCCAGAATGAAGATGACTTGAGACTGCAGATTTCTTCAGGGACATCATTCCAGTGAGTCTTAGGGAAATTAGAATTAATAGTGTCTAACAGCAAAGGACTTCCATGCTTTAGGCTGCTTCTCAAATGGACAACAGTCTGTTTTCAGTTCCATAGTATCAGTTGAGTTATGACAAGACTCATCTGCAAGGTTAGGAGTTGTTTTTTTTTTTTTTTTTCTTTTTAGCTTCCATTATTAAAAGCAGTCTAGTATAATCACTTCAAGGACTCTGAGATAGTTATAAATAACATCTTACAAATGATAAAATCAAGAAGTGACCTGTGACCCTCTGAGATAATCTTTCCCAACTTACATATACTGAACAGTTCCTTTATCCTTGGACTTCTTAGGTAAACGAAGCTCAGGTAAAGGAAACTCCTCTGATCATGAAGGATGTTGGAGTGAGGAAAGCTGGACATTTAACCAGAGTGGGACCAGTGGGAGCAAGAAGTTCAAGAAGACAAAGCCAAAGGAAGACTCTCTGCTTGGGTAAGTGTCAGTGAGCACAGTCCATCAATATTGTTCCCACCCCTGTGTACTAGGATTTCCACAGTACATGTAAGTCACTGATTCTTCTTTGTTTAGCACTTGGTTCAGTCTTGGTAAATTTGCTAGCAAACATCAGTCAAGTGCATTTCCATGATTCCACTACTGACATAGTTAATCATTCATATTTTAAGTAATTAGAAATTATAAAGTACATTTTAAACATGAGCCCGAGTTTGATTCAAGGTCTACCACACAGTGGTAGTATGATATTGTAAATCCTTTAATATTGCTAGGACCATTTTATCATCTGAAATTTAGGATGGATATTATCAGTATGTTTACATCTTGCCCACTTTTATGCTATATTAATATTTATTGTACTATATTTTAATATTTTCAGTGTATGTGCATGTATTTAAAATATGGCAAGAAAAATAGAGATAAATAAAACTCTGCTTTAGCCCATAACCGTGATTTTTTTTTAAAACTACCATCTTCTTTTGCTGTGAGAATAAATCAGAAGTACTAGGTTAAATATTCTGGTACAGAGAGCATTTAATACATCATGCGTCAAAATGAAGTACTAAGTAAACAACAGCATATATCAGAATAAAATCATTAAGATTATTTCACAAATAATGTTAATAACAATCTTCATATAAAGCATCCTATTAGTAAGAGACAATACTTTATATTGGTGAGGAAAGTCTGAATATTCAGTTGTACTGTTTTGAAAATCCTTAGAGATTTCTCATTAGCCCAATTTGAAAAGAATACATTAAAAGGAAATAATTCTTCCTATTTTTTCATAATTGTGTTAGAGGTATGCAAATTTTATGCATTGGGTATATTGTATTTGTTGTATTCATAATATTTGCATTTCTAATTTGTGGAATAAGGTAATGTTTTTTTTGTGGAAATTACAGTGTTTTAAAGTCTGATTAATTCTAAGACTCTAGGTCATCATCAAGTAAGTAGAAATTATTTCTGATGGTGCTGACTCCTCAAAATTATTTATAGTGAAATAACATATTTATAATTTTATGTTTCATCCCTAATATTTTAAAAGGCCAGAGGACTTCAAATTAGTTTTGCTTATGTTATGCTTAAATAATGACTTGAAAATCCTCCCTCTTATCATTGTCAAGTGATGTGTTCAAATGCAGAATTACCTTTAAAAAGTAGAGCACCTTCCTAGCAAGAGAAAAACCATGAATTCAAATCTCAACTGAAAAAAAAAAAAAAAAGATCCTTGAACATCTTAAACCAATGTCTATCTTCTATAGGAACTACTGAAGCCTTGTCAAGTCTCAGTGACAAGAACAGAGCAGGTCTCATTATACAGATACTGTGGGAGTAAGTCTCCCAGTCAGAACTGTCTCTGCTGCTGCTATTACAAACTACTGAGTTGTGGGCTGAGGGGATAGCATAGTTACTAAGAGTACCAGCCTAAGTAAGTAAGTAGAAGGCTCTGAGTTCAAATCCCCATATCACTCATACAAAAAAAGAAACTTCTAACTAAGAGATATTGTGCCAGTCTCCGGTAAACAGGATAAGTGAAACAGTCTTTGAGAATCTGTTCTTAAGATTATTATGGAAAGAGATACCCATATACCTTCCACTTACTGTCAAGAAAGCACAGTATAGTTCTTCAGCTTCCCTGATCTGTGCACCTTCCTAAGTCTCATTAAATGAAAGCCACGTTAAGGCTCCAGCAGGCCTGGAACCATTGCTGCAAGGGGCCTTGGAGACAGCTAAAGCAAACTCCCAAATTCTCAGACTTTGCCAATGTCATGTTTAAAGTCGTCTAAGGTTTAAGGTAAAGTGGTGTTGCTTCTTTGTCAGTGTTCATTTGAAAACTAGCTTTACTTTGCTCACTGAATAATTTCATTCTTATAAGGCTAGAACTCCAACAATTTTTCTCTATTTAAATTTCACGTGGCATTTCGTGTGTGTGTGTGTGTGTGTGTGTGTGTGTGTGTGTGGCATATTTATTTTTTAAGCACATCTTACAAAATTTCTTATATATTAACAGTAAACTTATCAACAAATATGCATGTATATGAATCTGTGGAATGATAAGATGTCTGAATAAAGTATGATTTGTGCTGAACTTTATGAGATATTCTTATACCAATGGAAAGAATAGCAAATTCCACACATCTAATATTTTAAGTGATCTTACTACTTTTCTGAAAGCATTATAATTTGTTATCTGAGTTTCATAAGAAAGCTGTACTGGTAAATCTCACGCACTTATGAAAATATGTTTTTCCCTTTGCACAGAATTTATTGAAAATGCAATAATTTCTAGAGGACCCATTTTCAAATGGAGTGCTCTGAATGTAATAGTAACGTTTTATGTTTTAATAATTGGTTTCATACTGATGTGATTTCCTACTCCCTATTCAACAGCTCAACAAAGTTGGATGAAGAATTTGAAAAGAAATTCAACAGCCTCCCTCAATATAGTCCTGTTACATTTGACCGGAAATGTGTATCTATTCCAAGAAAAAAGAAGAAGACTGGAAACATATCCTCAGAACCAACTAAAACCAGCAAAGGTTAGCTGTGACCTGAACCTCCCTGCACTGGCCGTTTTGACTACGCTTTGCAGCACCCTTTAGATGAATATAGCACTTGGATTTAGAACTAAGGCAATAGGGAATTGAAATTTCACATTGACTTCTAAGATTACTTTGGTTTACCTCTCTTTTTTTTCCTTTTTCCTTCTTAATTTTCCCTAGCCTTTGTCTGAATTTATAAATTTATCCTTAAACGTATAGCCAAGGTTTTTCCAAAGTGTTAAGCACAATCATCAGCCTCCTGATGTCCACTTGATTTTTTGAGGTTTTATTGAGACATTTATGCTGACATTTCTTCTGTCCCTTATGTCTATAGCAGGCTAGCCTAACACGTTTAAAGTGAAATTGGGAGGTAAAGTTTTCAAGATAGCAATACTGTCAGCCCACAAATATCAAAAGTAGTCCCTGGTATTAAAATGACCAAAATTATCCCCATTCTTCTCTTTGCCTATATGGACCATCTCAAAATTAAAATACCTATAATTTTAATTGCAATTGTAATTTGGATGAATCATATCTATATTATATGTGTTGTTAAATTTAGATAAATACTTGGATTAGCATTTCTATAGCATTTGATATAGCATTTGATATAGTGTTTGATATAGCGTATTCATTATTTCAACAATATTAACTTCTCCATTTATATCAGGGGACCTGAGGACCAAGAAGACTTGAATGAATCTCAATAGTCACCAAATATAATGCTTCAGTCCCAAAGGAGACTTAGAAAAGTGGGGATTTTTTTGGTGGTATCAATAATTGGGACCACTTTTGACATTAGTGAACAGGGGCAGCTAAGATGACAGCATTGTTGTCTTGAGAACCTTATCCTCCAGTTTCACTTTAGCTAAAGATTGGTCAGGGAATTATTCCTGTACTTTTCCGCATATATTTAATGACTTCATTCAGTGAGCTGTCCTGTAGAGACAGAAAATGCAGAGATGAAGGTCTGTGTGTCTGACCTATAGCTGCTTTCAGGATTAAATTTGAGCAAGATTTGATAGAAGTGTTTTTAGAATTGTCTTGCAAAAGTGACTGGCTATTTCATGCTTTGTGTCAAATCAGATTAATTCCCTGCTTCTATGTATTTTAGGTAGATAGATCCAATATAAATATTAATGGATACAGTTAGTTTTATACATTTTGAAAGGGAGTATTAAAGAAAAGTACAGTTTCTCTCTAAAGAAACCTAAACTTCACCCTCAATACTTACAAATCCTTTATAGACTAGAATTGCCACAACCAAAGAGGTTTACTTTGAGATCTTTATCTCAGAACATTATTGAAATGCATAGGAAAATGCCCCTTTCATCATTAAAAGCAGAAAGGTACTTAAAAGTCATTTTAGAATGAACTGTTTTCCTCTGTGGTTAATAAAAACCAAGTTAGCAAATAAAGAACTGAAAAAGAAATGTTGTTGCATCACCAGGTTTGCTCATCTGGGAAAATAATGTTGTGTCGAGATCGTCCAAGATGGATGAGGAAAGAAATAAAGTAGACTTGTTGACAGGTAGGTAGCTGAGCACTAGAATGGATTGCCAAATGAAATGACAGTCTTTGTGCCCTAGAGATATTTAGGAATAGGCAAAGTAGTCCATGAGCCCAAAAATGTCAGCTATCTTGAGCTCCAATAATTCTTGGATTTAAAGTTGCTGATAACTACCTGACAAGCCAGTAAAATGGAACTTAATTGATTGATGTACAAGCTGCATTCCTTATCCTATTCTTACAGTTCAAGACATTCATTTTACAGCTCTGAAGTTGGCCATATTATCTTTCAGAGAATATAACAATAGATTTATTTTGCAAAGCTATAAGACCCTGAAGTTTTTTTTTTTTTTTTGTCTATTTTCATACACCTTTTTTGGGGTGGGGGTTAGGGGGGAGGGTCTTTGCTGTTAACATAATTCTCCTCTCCCAGCTGAGATTAATAATATTTCTTTTGATGTGAAATGGCTTTGTGAAGCTTTGAATTATATTTCATATAGTATCATCTTACTCTCTCATTATGCACAATGTCACTGGTTCTTATAAATGTCTGTGAATAATTACAGATGTGAGGAGGCTTCAAGACTTAGGATTTTGTTCTGCATTCTGTCTTTGTGAAACAAAATGGAATTCAAATACAGCAGGAATTAAACAGTATATTCTGTTAACCAAAGTAATAATATTTGTGTAAATAATAATATTTGGCATTTGTAGCACCAATATACCAGACTACACGTTATTAATTAAATGATCATACCAGCTACACTGTAATTGCCTGATCTTTAGGAGATAGAAGAGATTGTTTTCTTTGACTCTAGATCCTTTGCATCTTTAGATAATGAATCATTCAAAACAAACACTGTAAGATCATTAGCTCACTAGTAAAATAAGATGTGTCCATAGAAAACTCCTTTTTCCCCCAACCATTTGCCATTTGTTTCTATTTTTTTCTCATATATGTAGTCATTGAATATTATGGGTTTTTTTTTTCTGACTTATCCTTGTATCTTTTCAGGTAGTTCAGTTTTTGTAAAGGTCATAGAATTTTTCTGAAATCTAATTTCTAGAAGGAATGATTTATTTTTATATAGTCACTTTTCTCAGAAAGATGGTATCTACTTGGATGTACCTCTCTATTTTCCCATTGGCCTTCTTAATTATGTCTGTTTTTCCAAATCATCACTTTCTTTGCCTTCCCTTTATCTCTCCCCTATTCCTATATCTGTGTAATGGGTCTCATCACAGGCTTTACCATGAAGGAAATGAAAATAACTGAGTCATCTTCCTTCAATTGAGCTTTGGGCTATATGTCTAATAGACATGATGATTTAGAAATAGAATTTTCTTTTCCTTCTAATTACAAAACATCCAATAAATTATAATCCACCCAAATGACAATATAATTCATCTGATTTAGCTCAATCTGACATTGTTTTCAAGGTTGTCTCTCTCTCAATTTGTGTTTTTATGTGAAAGCGTGAATTGTCTAAGTTTAATTATAACTTCTTAAAGTTGGTTTTGAACCATTGTTTTATATACATAAGTATATACATACATACTTACATATGGTAAAAGCCTATGAACTTAAGTTTCTAGGGAAATAGTAATTTTCAAAGGAAGGGATAGATAGTCTTAAAGAAAAAGCAATTGGAATTCAATTTGGAATAGAAATGTCTAATTATTCCCCATCCTGACCCTTGGTTTCACTTCTCCTCCATATCTCTTCTGTCTTTAGATAGTACTTTGCTTTTACTTTTCCCCAATCCACACTTAAAGCAATATTTAAGTTAAAAAAGATGGCTAGTTGATAAGCCAGGTACCGGTGACAGTTGATAAGCCAGGCACCAGTAGCTCGTGCCTGTAATCCTAGCTACTCCAGAGGCTGAGATCTGAGGATCACGGTTCAAAGCCAGCCTGGGCAGGAAAGTCCATGAGACTGTTCTCTCCAATAAAAACCCCTAGAAAACCGGGAGTGGCGCTGTGGCTCAAGTGGTAGAGCGCTCACCTTGAGCTGAAGAGAGCAGGGGCAGCGCCCAAGCCCAGAGTTCAAGCCCTACGACCGGACGCCTTCCCCCCAAAAAAATGATGGCTAGTGTCAGAACTGGTTGGTAGAGTACCTTCTTAGCATGCATGAGTCTCTAGCATAGCAAAAAAAGGGGGTAGGGCAGTCTACAAATCAAAAAAATATATATATTGTAATATTAATCGAAGAAGCAGGTTTATGCAAGTAAAAGCAAAAGGCAAAAATTTTAAAGACAAAATCTCCTATTTGGGGATATTAAGCTAACTTGAGGATGGTAACTGGGCTAGCTTTTCTATTAGAAAATTGAAGCTTTCGATTGGGCAGAATTCTACATTTACCCTAGAAGTATTTGAGTGTCTTTACTGCTACCAAATCTTTTTAGGAACATGGTGGCAACATGTTGTCAGATAAAAGGTATATCTAATGTGAGCTTGACCTGAACAAAGCAACCATATCCAGCCCAAGGATGTAGCTCCTCGCTCTTAAGGAATCTTACTTGATAGTGGCTGATGTACTTGCTAAGGAATTATTCAAATCAACTGATCCACATGACCGGCAGCTAGAAGTGTTTGCTATAAATTATTGCAAATGGGTTTATTGGTTCATTAGTTACTCATTACTTATGTGTCTAATATAAAGTGACAGCCTAGTCTTAGAACATGACCCTTGCTCTTACAAAACTGTAGGGAGTTATATCTGGCATTTGTTTTAGACAATAGTTCTAAAGAACAAGTTCTCTTAATTCACCTTACCTGCTGACTTTGAAAAATTATTATACCAGACTAACAGGAAAATGACTTCTGTGTCACTATAGCTTATGTCAGCATTTTTTTTTTTTTTTTTTTTTAGCAACTTAGAGGATTAATGTTGCTGAAATCTATGGCAGCCCTATTATATCCCCTTGGCTTGTAGTTGGAGAGTTCAATTTGGGTACTGATCTCCTTTATAGGCCATTTTCCCAAAAACTCATGTAGATGTATAAGCCAGTTTGCATATAAACCATGAATAATTTGATCATAAGAAAGCTCAAGTTGATACAAATATTCTCTCCCACTTTCTGAAGAATGGAAACCTGAGGTAGTATACAGAGAACAACAATTGTCAATCTTTTTGTTTTCTAAATGCTTTGCTTTTCACTTCCTGCTTATTCCTGCCATGGTTACTTCTGTGTGTTATATCACATGTGCCAAACAAGAGAAAGATAGTAAATGTACTTATTCTGTGTTTATTACATATTTTGACTTTATCTTCTTATACACCATATCTGTCACATGTACTATAGTGGTTAGCATAAATTAAAGTGTTTTCATTTTTGTACTTCAAAATTGATGCTTTTTAGTGTCTACCACTAGATCTTATTATTGTCTTTTCAAGGTTGTCACTTTCTTTGAAGAAGTTGTCATTTGCTTATAATATTTTATAGTTGTAGCTTGGGAGTGGGTAGGAACTAGGAAACAAAAAAATAGTTTACAGAAACAACTCTAGATGGTCCCCCTCCTCTACCCTGTAAATATCAACAAGCCCTGTCTATGCCTTGTCCTTAACTGGTACTTTTCAGATTTTTCTCAGTATGGCTGAGTCTCACATTCCATACATAAAATCAGTTTGCTTCTATGAATTATTTCTTATTTCTTTATATCATTCTCCCTTTTGAACCAATGCCTTATTATTACTTTCCTACAGAATCTTACTGATGGCAAGAAGTCTCCGGATTGTTTTTCTGCCTTCTCCTCTTGTTCATGATTGCTATATGTCATTCAGGTGTGCTACCCTGTTGTTGCCTGGATTTTATAAAATATATGAAGCAGTGATTGCACATACATTATGGAGAACACCTTCCTGTCCATGTACTGTATTAACAGGCATATTTTCTTTTCTTTTTTTCTCCCAGAGCTGAAGACTGAACTCAGGGCTTTGTACTTGCTAGTGGTCCTTCACTGAGCTAAATCCCCAAACCCAAAGCTTATTTTCTATGTACTTACTAAATTTATTTTTGTTTCACTTGTTGCTCACTTTTTCCCAAAGAAGCAAGCACGAAGGCATTTTCTATTTCAGTTTCAAACCATTAGCAGCTAATGCTTGGTTTTGAATATTTGAGAAGAGGGCTAGATGTAGTCATTTAAAAAAAATACAGTAATTATAGCAACAGATATTTTTACCTGTAAAGATATCTTTACACTTTTTGCCAAGCACTACTTTCATAAGTACTCATGAAACAAACATTTATTGAGAACCTGTCATGTGCTGTGCACTGTCCTAGGCACTTTGATTATATCTGTGAGTGAAAGCAACAAACCTTACTGTCTGAAGGTTCTATTATATTGAGAGGAACAGACAATCCATAGGCCCAAAGAATAACCAAAGCGTTAAAATAATATGGTTTGTTCTCTTGACAACAGTGACATGAAATTTAAAATTAATAAGAGAACTTAAAATTAGTAAGACAAAATTTAGGAAACGTACAAGTACATGGAAGATAAACATATTCCTGAATAACCAATATGTCAAAGAGAAAAGGAAAATTGTAAAGAACTTTGAAATGAAAGAAACATATCAAAACTTAGGATGCAGTGTAAGCAGTGCTTAGAGAAAAATGTTTGGATCTAAGTGTGTACTAAGAAAAAAGATTTCAGGTCAATATCCTACCTAGTCGTTCACCTTAATTTGAAACTAGAAGGGGAAAAATAATAAAGATCTGATGAAAAAGAATATTTAAACAGTAAAAACAACAACAAAATTATTAGAGGCAGAAGTGAAATAAAGGACATTACTACCAGCTTTACAGGGTTATAAGGACAGTTATATACCAATAAACTAAATAACCTAGGTAGAGTAGGCAGTTCATGTAAAGACACAAACTACTGAAACCAACTTAAGAAACAGATAGTCTGCACAGACCTATAGCTTGTAGACTGCATTAACAATCCAAAACATGCCTAGAAGAGGAAGAATGGAGAGGAAAGCCCAGACCTAGATGGCCTTATGAATTCTGTCAAACTTAAAGAAGAATTAGTACCAATTCTTCACAAATGAATTTAAAAAAAAATCACAGAAGTGAAAATTTTCCAACTCATTCTAATGTCAGCCCAGATTTTAAAAAAAGAAAGAAGAATCAAAACCCAGAGTAAAACAAGAAACAAAATCTACAGCCCAATATCTCCTGTAAGGATAACTCAAAAGTCCTCAACAAAGTACCAGCAAACAAACACAAGCAAAATATAAAAAGAATTATACACTATCACTAAATGTGAGGCTGGTTTGACATCCAAAAATGAATTGAGGTAATATTTCTCTTATCAGTGGACTGAAAAACATAATCACAGTAGATGTAAAAAGAAACATTTGCCAGAATCCACACTTTTATGATAAATGCACTCAACCAACTAGGAATAGAAAGGAATTTCTTTAACCTTATAAAGGGCATCTACAAAAGCACACAGCTGGCATACTTAATGATAAAAGATTATATTTCCCTGAAAGCATAGAAACAAGACATTGATGTTCACTCTCACCACTTCTGTTAAACATTGTACTGGATGTTTCTCTCATGACAGGGAAGAGGAGGAATGAAGGCAAGATTGAAAAGGAAGAAGTAAAACTATTCTCCGATGACATGATCTTATGTATAGAAAATCCTAAGAAATCCATTTAATAGCTAAAAATGGGCTCAATAGAGTTGCAGGGCACAAAAATCACACGAAAAGTAATTGTATTTATATTTTCAGTGAAGAATCAAGAAATGAAACAATTCTATTTATAGTAGTATTTCAAAGAATAAAATCCTTAGGAATAAATTTAATGAAAGCAGTGTGCATAATGAAAGCACCTAAAACATTGTCAAAACAAAGATGATAGGAATGAAAGAAAAAATACCAATGTTCATGGATTGAATGACTTAATATTGCTAAGATAGATTCACTATCCCAAACTGATTTGTAGATTCAATTAATCCCTCTTAGAATTCCAGTTGACTTTTTTGTAGAAATTGACAGATGGGTGAGATTAAATATGGAATTATGAGAAATTCAGAATAGCTATAACAACTGTAAAAAAGTAGTAATAATTTAAAGTTTGACTTCAAAAGAATAGTGATCAAATTAGTATCATGGTAACATAAATAGATACAATATAGCTCATTGAAATAGCCTTGAGTATCCAAAAATAAGCCCATATGTTGGCCAACTTAGTTTCAACAAAGGTGAAAGGACTATTTAATGGAAAAATAATATCCATGACAAAGAATTAAGTTGGACTATTACTTTCCTTTATCCAGTATACTAAATTTAACTTAAAGTAGATCTGAATCTTAAATGTAAGATGTAAATTATCTGCCTGCCTGCCTGCCTTCCTTTTCCTTCCTTCCTTCCTTCCTTCCTTCCTTCCTTCCTTCCTTCCTTCCTTCCTTCCTTCCTTCCTTCGGAATATATTTTTATGTCTTTGCAGTAGAACCTTAGATATAATATTAAAAGCTATGCAACAAAAGATTAAATGTATAAATTCTAAAAATTTCTAAAAATCTTTAAGAAAATAAATTTTGTGCTTCAAAGGACACTACGAAGGGAAAATGTATCCTACTGAATGGGGAAAATATATGCAAATCACATGTCTGATAAAAGATTTAATCTAAAATACATAAAGACTTAACAGGCAAAAAGCAATTGCTGTGCTATATACTGCTCAGTTAATGGGAAGGCAGAGATAGAAGTATCGTGGTTTGGGGTAGCCTGGTCAACAGTTAGTGAGTTCCTATCTCAGAAAGCAAACCGAATGTGATGGCATATGCCTGTAATCTCAGCTACTCCGGAGATAGAGATTCAAGGAGCATTGTCTGAGGCCAGTTCTGGGCAAAATCATTGAAAACAAGAAGAGTTGGAGGCATAGTACAAGTAATAGAACACATGCCTAACACACACAAGGCCTTTTGTTTAATACCTACTTCTGCCAAAAAAACAATGTAAACATGTAAAGAAACATCTTTCCAAAGATATATAAATGACTGAAACATACGTGAAAAGGTTGCTTGCCAAGGACATACAAATCAGAATCACAATAAGAAGGGCTAGAGGCATGACTCAAATGGTAGGATACTTGCCTATCAAGTATGAAGCCCTGAGTTAAAGCCCAGCACTGCCCAAGCAAACAGATCACAGTAAAAAAATGGCCACAATAATAATTTTAAAAAACACAGATAATTACAGACATTGCTTTGTGGAAAAATTGAAGTCCTTATGCATTGCTAGTAAAAGTGTAAAATAGTGCAAAAGCTTCATTAAGGAGTCTGATAGTCTTTCAAAAGTTAAGTTTATTGACCAACCAGCAATTTCATTCTTTCTTATATGCCTAAGAGAAATTAATACATGCATCCATACAAAAGCTTGTACATAAATGTTATTGCATTATCCATAATAATCAGTGGTGGGGAAAAAATCTAAGTATCTATTTGGACAGATAAATAAAATGTCTTTTATTTCTACTGAAATATTCATCCTGATACATATTAATTACAATGGCTTGAAAACATTAGCTAAATAAAAAGTCAGAAACTTCTTATTATATGAGTTAATTTGTATAAGCTTTTCATAATGGGCAAATCTGCACATAAAGTACATTAAAGATTGCCTAAGGATGGGGGAATACTGATGTAGGAAAGTAGTAACTAAAAGGTGTTGGGTTTACATTTGAGGTATTGGAATGTTCTAAAATCAGTAATGGTTGAAATATCTCCATTTGAAAACCATTGAGTTCCATTGAGTTACATATGTAACATCTTATTGGTTGACATGTGAATTATATTTCAATGGAATTGTTTCTAAAAATCAGTTAAAGTAATAATAGGTTTATAAGAAAAGGAGATCACAAGTGACAGGTGTAGGATTGGATTGCAGTTTACGTAGATGGTCTGAAGTTAGCCATAGGATTATCTGAATAAGGGAAAACCTTTTTCTAGGCAGACATAACTGCAGACACAAAGAGAGGCTGCATGTGTGCAGAATAGCCAAGAAGCCAGTGCAACTAGAGAGAAGTGAAAGAGAACATGAGGTTACAGACATAATGGGTCTCTCAATCACCCAAGTCCTTGTCAGATATTGTAAGATGGTTGGCTTTCCAAACACAGAAGTCTGGCTGAAGCAATGCATTTGTGAGTAATCAGCTTGTGGCTGTTATTTCAGACCCTGAAACCAGAAGTAATCACTAAATGAATGAGAATAAATATACAAGGACCAGATCTGTAAGATCTGTACCATTCCCAAGTTAAGGAGTCTTGGAAAAGAGCAGGAAGCAAAGGAGACAAAGAAGAAAAAGATCAATGAGAAAATAGAGGAAATAAGAAGCCTGGTAAAGGAAGTGTTCAAGGCAGAGCAGACTACTATGTCATGTGCTGCTGATAAGCAAGCCCTGTGTAATGAGGATGGATAGTTGGCCTTTACAGCATCAAGTCATTGTCCAAGAAGGACAAGTTTTCTTGAACAGCCAGGGCAGAAGCCTGGTTGGAGTGGGTTTGGGATAGAATTAAAGTTGAAAAATGTGTAGGCAGTCTTTCAGAGAAGAACTTTGCTGCAGCAGGAAACCAAGAAAAGAACTGGGGCAGCAGCTTATGTGCAAAAAGTTGGGGCACAAGATTCCCACCACTCGGTTTTTTTTCCTAAATTGAGTAAAGTAGCATATGTTTCTACACTGATAGAATGATTCACCTGAGAGCATAGGCTACCATGTAGGCAGAAGACCTGAATGGAAAGGAGCATGGTGTCGGTCTAGCTAAAAGGCAAAGCATTCGTAGATGGGAAATGCCAGAGGGGCAGCTTGTGACACTTGTAATATTTTAATCCTTAGACCAACCCTGTGAGTTAGGGAGGAACTGCAGTGGTCCCAATTTGCAGTTGAGGAAACAAACTGTGAGAAATTATTCACGTAGGAATATCGCCAAAGTGTAGAAAGCCACCTGCTTTGGGGACATACGTGCTATTGTTGGTGTTTCTGATTGCTGACCAAAAAAGCCTGCAATTCTGTTTTTGTATGAAACAATCTCTCTCTCTCCTACCCAGAAAAACTTTTTTTTTTTTAAACAAATATTTTTCTGGTTTAAAATCATGTTTTCTCATAATGTCCTGAAAAAAAAAAAAGGCCAGAAAGTTGTCTAATGCTGTCAGGTTAGCCATAATCCTGAAGGTGCTGTCCTTGTGAAATTAGTTTCTTAGGAAAGAGTTTCTTAGGAGAAATGAAACATATGTGCCATCCAAGAGTCTGAAGTATGATCTTTTCTATTACAGGCCATTGATGTTACTGGTTGCTGTCTGTTTCAACCCACTAAATCTGTCCCCCCCCCCCCCCCCAATGGAGGCTTCTGCCCAATACATTTCTAAGGAAAATCTCATTGAGTTTTAAATAAGTCTAACAAAAGGGACTGAACACCAGCTAGATGAGTGAGGATGCACAAAGACATTTCTCAAGGGAGTGGGGAGGGGGTCATTGTTTTAAGACACACAGTATTGTTTTGTGCAACATTGTGAACTTAAAATATATTTATATTAATATTGTCTATAGGTCCCTTCCAGTCTCAGAAAAAGAACTTATTCCACAAAATTGTCAGCAAATATAAGCACAAAAAGGAGAAGCCTAATGTTCCAGAAAAAGGTATTGGTGCCTTCCATCCTCCATTAAGGTTTCCTGGTCACCTCCATCACAACCTCATCTTTGAGCAAGCCTTTGCTATTCCTCCCTGCTTGCTTTAGTGCCATCAGCTCCTATGCAGGTGTTTTTATCTTCCTAGGCTCCGCTGCTAATTACAGATTTCCTTCACTTAGATTCCCACTCAGATGCATACTTGTCTCTATGATCAGGGCTCCACATGAATTGTAATCATTTTACAACTTAGTCTTCTTGGACTCTGTTTTCTATGGAAATTGTTTTTCTCATGTTTGGCAGTCCTTCATACCATGACCACATTTTCCTACTCCCTAAAATCTTACAGTTACGTACTAATGTGAAAGTTTTGCCATTTCTATACCTTTTCTTCCAATTGGGAAGCCTCCTGGTCCCTTTTCACCTCTCATAAGTTGTAACTTACCTCCTTTCTCCCCATCTGTGTACTTCATCATAGGCTGAACGCTTTTCCCTGCCACCTGTCACAAATCTTATTTCCAGAGGGCATTAGAGACTTACGTACTCTACTCCTCTTTCCTCTTAACATCTATCCCATTGTTAGGATCTTGATGGGCCCTTGAACCTCTTCAGGACTCATCTTAAGATCTCTTTCTTCTTAGTTCAGGACTCTTAATCTTGCACAAAACGATGTCTGCCATCTGGGTCAATATAACCTTGTGTGTCCTAGAAGTTCAACTTTCTTTGGTGTCTACCTGCATGTCAGTGTTGTTGCTACTATAAATCTATTCATTTGATACCCATTTGCATTCTACTTGCATGGCTAGGGGAGGCTTTAAATGCAGCTGTCTTCTGCCTGTGGTCAAAAGTGTTTATACATTCCTGTATGTAGCCTTTTACTTAATTTGTGCATTCACCCCATTGTAGCTTCTTCTTTTTGTTTTCTGCATTGATATTGGCTTTTTTTTCCTGCTTCCAGTGAAGAAACATATTCTTTACATAAAATGTCAGCTTTTCTCATTTCCTTTTACTGATTTTCAAGTTATCTTTATTAAAGTCACAAAAATTATCTACCAGTATATCGATTTCATAACTGACAAAGATATGTTTATTTTTATCTGTTTTCTATGAGACCTGAGTAGTTTAGTTGGAAAATGCAGTTTGTAAAATAAAATAATTAAAATTAAATCCACTCTATGTGTGTGATGTTTTCTGTTTTCAATATTGTCTTGTTTTATAGCATTTCTGTTTATACTAAGTAGATCTTCACTGACCTTTCCTGTTCTTTACTGTTTTTAGGAAGTGGGGATAAATGGTCACATAAGCAATTCTTCTTGGATGCCATTCACCCTACAGAAGGTAAAAGAAGCAATTATTTAAATGTACATAGCTTAAACTAGAAATGGGATGATTTTTAAAGGTTTAATAAAACCCCTATAATTTATATTGATCATCTAATAGAATTAGACCTATGTGTTTATACTTAGGTCTTTTTTTATTGTAAAGATACTGTACAGAGGGGTTACAGTTACAAGAGTAAGATAATGAGTACATTTCTATGGAGCATTGTTACCCCCTCCTTTGTTTTCCCCCTTCTATCCCTTCCCTCCCCAACTCCCTCATCCCCACATCTCATTGTTACAAATGGGTCGACCTGTATCCTTGTTTCAACATTTAGTTATTTCGCTTCCCTTCCCCAAATTAGAAAAATGTATCAGTTAGCATAATTTTATATGGTCATATGTACATAGCTATTGAGCTATTGTGATCCTGTGCTAGGAGGTTATTTCTAATTTTCAAATCAAAACTTGTTTGGGGGCTCCTGCTATTGATCAGACAGTATCATGTGATATTTGACTTGTTAAAGGGGATTGGTTACCTCTGAATCACATTGGTGAAGATTCCAGTTTTTTAGTAAATGTGTCTGACTTTTGTAGTTTGTGTTGCAAGCAGATCCTTATGATAGTAGAAGTCAAAACCGGGCATTAAAGAGCTCACCGGCTTGACTGCACATGAGCAATCCTCCCGAAATGATTTGTGACCTTAATGTTTCTCCTAACCTGTTTCCCATTACCTTAAATATGTTAAAAGATAATGTCCTTGTGGCATATCTGAAGGCAAAGAAAAATCTAATATTAACTAGATATGTTTTATAGGTCCTAGTTTAAGATTTCCTACAACCATATTAATTATGATTAAATATTGAAACTTAGGGTTTGTTTCTATGTTCACTAAGAAACCCTCCTACCCTTTTTCCCATCAATTCCTTTTCTTTTTCATGCATGGTAGGTATTTTTTAAGTCCTCAACATTTTTGTAGTGCTTCATTTCAAGTTACTTTATCTGAAAACTCTTAATGGATCTTATCCAGTTTGGACCCTATGATTTAGAGGAGGGAATTTAATCATCAACCTCCTATCACTTGACTCCCAGATACCAAAAATTCACCTTTGGCCTAAGTCATTTACCAGGGACACTCATTTTTGAGGTACTTATTAAAAAATGTCTAAGATTACTATTAATGATAAACTTGTTTTCATTTGGTAAGTGCGGTATTCATGAGCATGTTTGTTTTCATGTCATTTTATTCTGACAACAGATGACAGCAGCATATCTGCTGTCTGACTTGATTGCTTTTGTGACTTGTGTGGATCATGAGCTCTGCTTAAGTGCAGGCAACACAAAATCAGACTTGTGCTGCTCCTAGCACTATCTTCTAATATTCGCAAATTGCATTAGTAGCTCTTAGGTATTTAAATAGTGAATTTGGCACAGATTTGATGACTGTAAGGTACTGATGAACTATCAGAGACATTAAAGTCATTTAACACCACATTAATCGTTACTTGAAAAGATACTATTCTAAATAGGTTCTTTTGTTTCTTTGAACACCAAAATTCCAACTGAGGTGTGTCCTGTGGCAGAAAGATCACTTAATTTTGTAGCTGAAAGATCCAGGTTTTCAGATCTGTCACTGAGCAGCGTTTTTCAGTAGGACAAATTGCTTAACCTCATTAGGATTTATTTCACATTTGGTCTAAGTGCATACATGATTTGTAGTTTGGTTATATGATAAGATATAGTAATACTAAATTATAGCTTCTTTTTTCCTCTAACACTTTGTGACTTTGTTGCTGTGGTGTCTTGAGTAGCAGTATGATGCTAAAAACAAAATATTCTGCAGCCCTAATTTTCTGCTTTGGAGGCCAGAAGAGTAAATCATGAGTCTTATGGAAGTTCCAAAGTTTAGTAGAAGTAATGTTGGTAATATTTAAATAGACATAATGTATATGGAACAAAACTTTGGAGAACACTGAGTAAAGAATGCATGTCCTTTATTTAGCATAGAATGCAAATTTCTTTTCAGTGACTAGGAAAAAAGCAATCAATTTGAGCATCAGAAAATTACTAGTAATTTAAAGTGACCCTTTTTTGATTATTTATTTCCATACCATCCCTTGTTTGGGTGGTTACTGTATGCTTTGTAAATTATCTATGCCCTTTACTTCATTTTCTCTCACCTATGGCCATATGAGTGCTTATTAAAACTTTACTTGGAGGAAAGAAACACATAAAGCAGAAAATGAAATCATAATACAGGATAATTTTAACTTTTGTAAGCCATCCTGCACAGAGGTGAAACAGGAATTGTTTGTAGCTAATGTCTGTTATAGAAATGTTGGTTTAGCTGAGGGTATGCAGCTGCTCAGCTGTTCCTGACTTCTGTTAAAAGTAGGAAAGGTAGAGTTCCATACATTTTCTTTACAACACCCTGTGCCTAATTGCTTTTGCAAATCACTTTTACTTTTTTTTTAATGCAAGTGCTGAGCCTTGAATCTGGGCCTAGATCCTATTCCTGAACTCCTTTTGCTCAAGGCACTCTACCACTTGAGTCACAGCTCCATTTTTGTCTTTTTCTGTGATTAATTGGAGATTAGTTCATATACTTTCCTGCCTGGGCTGCCTTTGAACTGCACTCAGCAGATCTCAGCCTCCTGAATAGCTAGGATTAAGAACATGAGCAAATGGTGCCTGGTTGCAATTCACTTTTTCAAAAATGTTATTTATTAGAAATCTTTAGATGCATCTAAGATTTAAGTTCTAGATCTATCATCTGTCTTAAGTATTTTTGCTTAGGTATTAAAATTCAACGTGGCTAAACCACTGCTAAAAACCTTTGCATATGGCTTAAGAATTAATTAAAGGTAGAATTTTCTGATGAACTGTGAGACCTGACCTCTTGCTATTGTATATATCTTTCCATAAGATGTATTACCATAATTTCATGCTTAAGCTAGTATTCATTAAGCCTGAATAATTATTCTACTATGATGATAGTTAATATTTAATAACACTTTATAACTTACAGAGGGCTGTTGTATATTTTTAACAATTTTTATCTTTAACGGCAGCCCCACTGAATTAAGGAGGGTTTATAACCTAAACTAAGAAACTGAAGCTCAATCAACAGAAGAAAATGGGAAAGAAACTAGTCTTCTGTCCACTTAAGCACTTTGGCAGCTATAATTTCAATTTCTCAAGCATGTCTATAGACTTTTACCCCTCATTTAGTTCAGGTGTGGTTAAACACAAATGGTTTCCTACCAAGCAAAACAAAAACTTCAGTCTTCTCTCCATCAGAGAATAGTTTGTTTGTAATGTAAAAATGCAATTTCAGGAGTACAAGAGTTTTTCAGATATGATCCACTAGGTCTCTTTTTTGCAATTTCAATAATTGCCATATAATTTAAGTGGAATATCCTAGGATTTTAGATAAGGTTTATTCTACTCTTTTCTTCTGTTTCATTTGGCATTTGACTGCTGTTTGTGCTTATAGAAGACCAACCAAAGGCAATGACATTTCTGATCTGGCTATAATAATCTTAGTGCAACTTGGAATTCTACAGTTGGAAAGTGAATTTTGTGATTCTTGTTACCCTCTGGGGTACAGTCTAAATACAGTGCTGCTTTCCCAAAAAAATGTACTTCTCATTTTGGATATAGGATTTGTAAAAGATGACAATCTTTTTTAATTTTTAATGTGGCTCCAGGAGTGAGTCCACATTATCACTCTCAGACGAAGCACTCCACAAGTGTTATGGTATTGTTGAGAGTAAAATCTAGCCCCATGGACTTGTTCCACATTGCTTGGAAAGTTTTTTGTGTTCCAATTAAAAGTCAAAAGTGAAATGACTAATTTTCCTTTTGAGGATAAAGCCTGTCTCTTTTCTTCCTTCCCCCCCTCACATTTCCATTAGTTTGAGGAGAGGAAGAGGAGCTTATTTTCTTCTCTGAGCTCTTTTTGTTTGATGTCCCATACCACTCAGCCTTTTGTTTGCTCTTCTTTTGTTCATCATGGCAGAACTCCATCTACTGTTTTATTCCAGACAAATATTTCTTTGGCTGAACCTTATTTACCTTCCCTAATTCTTGTATTTCAGAAAGTATGTTACCTTCTCTTCAAGGTCAGAAAGACTGACCTGAAGTAGAAAGGCTAATCTCAGTATAGTTCACTAAACAGGGTCAAAGCATGGGACAAGACTCTTAATTTTTCAAGTGAAGAGCCAATTTATTTCTAGATCTAAGAGGTTTAGAGAAGACTTCTTGTTTGTTTGTTTTGCTTTGTTTTGTCAGTTGTGGGGCTGGACTTAGGGCTTGGGCACTGTCCCTAAGTTCTTTTGCTCAAGACTAGCTTATTTATTTATTTATTTATTTTTTGGTCGTGGGGCTTGAACTCTGGGTCTAGGTACTGTTTCTGCACTCTTCATCTCAAGGTGAGTGTTCTACCACTTGAGCCACAGCACCACTTCTGGTTCTCTGGTGGTTAACTGGAGATAAGAGTCTCACGAACTTTGCTGGCTGGGCTGGCTTTGAACTGTTATCTCAGCCTCCTGAGTATCTTTATAGGCGTGAGCCACTGGCCCTTGAGAAAAGACATTTTCTAAGTGTCATTACCACTTCCTAAGAGGACTTATGAAAACTAGTGTGTGTTTTTTTCTCTTCCACTAATCTGCAGCCTGATTCTTCTCTTTACTATCTCCCAGTGTGTTGACAGTAGATAGATATATTTTGGCAGATAGACTAGTCTTTAACCCCTTTTCCCTGTCAGCTGATTTTAGATCCTTTCCTAGTCTTTGGGCCCAAACTGTGCTTTCCACTTGCAACCTGGCCTCTTTGGCCTCTTACTGTGTTTTTACTAATCCATCTGCAACAGACTAGTAAAGGAAAACCATCAAACAGAAATGTAGCTATTTGAAGGCTCATCAATAAAACAGAAAACAAAGAAAATAGTTCTAATCAAAGCAGTACTTTTCCTCAGCTTCGGAACTTTGGAGATGAAGGTTTGTTTTTCTCTGGCCAAGACCCTGATTATAGTCTGTGTGACAAAACTAATATTGTTTTATGGAAGAATGACTTCTTTAAAGTGAATCAAGTCTGAACCTATCATTACATAAAGATAACAGTGGCATGGTCCCATAGTTAATAAACTACAAATTAAAGAATAGAAGCAGGTCACTCTGATAATTGTTTGTGTAATCCATAGTCTCTGTGTGGAAATAGGTCATCTTTTCCCAAAACACTTGGCCATTTTGTTGTATCCATATCTTTTCCTTGGCTCTTCTTTATTCTGATGATAGTATACCTTTCCTCTCTGAAAATCTTCTCACAAGTTCTCAATTTCTTTTTCAAGAGGAAGTAGTAGAAAGGGAAAAGGTTGCTATTACAATGTGCATGTGTAATACTATGATAATATGGGAAAGACGAACAAGACTCCCTCTGTAATTACCATGGACAAATGATGGATTTGGATAAGAAAATAGAAAAGTTGAAGCCTATGAATACACAACAAGTTAATGCTCATTATTAATTCAGATCTTGGCTTCTTCTAAGAGGCTAAAACAGTCATGAAACCTGTTTGAAATGTTTCTAACCAATTTTCTTTTATTACATGCAAAGCATTTATTGAATTTTAAATATCATGCATGGTGGTGCATAACTGTAATTCCAGCTTCTCAGGAGGGCAGAGGGTTGGGAATACTATGGTTTGAGGCCAACTTGAGAGAAAATGCTAGCAAGACCCCATTGCAACCAATAAGCTAAACATCTGTCATCTCAACTACTATAAATAAGAGGATCACAATATAGGCCAGTAGTCCTGTTAACAACACAAATCTCTACCTAAATTTTAGAAAGGTGGTAGCATGGTTCAAGTGGTAGAGTGCCTATCTAGCAAGCACAGAGCCCCATGTTTATCTAAGTGAAGCTAAGTGTCAAAGTGTAAATACATTCTAAGACTAAGCAGTAGTTTGCATGATCAGAATTACTCTGTGGTTGTGGTAGATGTACAGTTAAAATTTTTTTCCCCTGACTTTTGACTACTTGCCTGAAATGATGTTTGGAAGCATTTTCAAATAGGTTTTGTTTTGTATTTTAAATAGTTGCTATTTCAAGTCACAACTCAGCTGTGTTATTAAATGGGCTTTCTTTTTAGTATACTTGAAATTATTTCTATTTATTTGTTTACTTATTTTTGAATGTGACACCTGGAATCATCCTCTTCAGGCCTCATTCAAGGACAGGTCACCATAATTTCCATGGCAAAACCTCTTACTAATTCATATCCCTCCCATCTCACAGAAACACCTAAACCCATTAGGGAGCTGGGTTAAATTCTTTAATGAGGACTACACAAGTATTTATACCAATAACACTCTAAATGAGTTTTGTTTTGTTTTTCTTTGCAGTATGGGAGTTTGAACTCAGGGCTTCCAGCTTTCTTGGCTAGTATAACACTGCTGACACAGCCTTACTTGCTGGTTTTATTTCTTCTTATTCTGGTTTTTACTTTTTATGTTATATTACTTTTTTATATATATTACTTTTTTATATATATTACTTTTTTATATGTTTTTTGTAAAAATACTGTACAGAGGGGTTACAGTTACATGAGTAAGATAATGAGTACTATATTACTTTTTATGTTACACTTTTGCCAGTCTCTGTCTGCCTTTGGATCCCTCCCCTGATACATATCTTTAGTTATCCTCCATGTTTTGTTCTTTTGGGGTTTATCATGCCAAACTTGGATTGCTTAATTCACATTATTCCCCCTCTTGGTCAATAATGATCTCAGTGCCTGTCTTAAGAAAGTAGATAGAAAACTACTACCGAAAAGCCTTTAGGCTACTGAAATCAAAAGAAAAATTTAAATCCCAATTATAAAAAGCTTATGTACTCTTAAATGCTTCCAAAATTCATATCTGCATGTTCTCTCCTTACTTTTAAGGGAAGGATAGGAAGGATGAACTTCAAAGGAAAGAGAGTATATAGGATATATATATATATATATATATATATATCATATACATATGCATATATATATACACACATATACATACACACACATGTATATGTCTTCCTTTATGTATTCAGAATTACTCAGAATTCAGTAGTGTGCTATAGATGACTTACTGTTTTAACAGTGTCCTATCCATACATGTATATTTAAGAATAATATATTTTATTTCATAGTTCTCTGAAGATACAACACTTTTACTGTCCCAGTTCAGCCGAAAGAATTGCAGATAGGGTTCTAATAACAAGAAGTATTTGTGATATCCTGGGATAAAATTTACATACAATTTTCAGGATCCACTGACTTAAAAAAAAAAAAGTTTTCCCCATCACTTCTTTGAAAACTGAATGTAAATTCTCCATTGAGGTGGATTAGAGATTTAGAAATGCTTTCTTCCCAGAGCAAAATTGGTATCTTGTATTGTGTTTAACTGTATATGCTTTATCTTATTCCAGCCATATTTTCAGAAGACAAAAATACTATAGAGCCTGCTCTTAAGGTTAAAAATGCCCTACCCACTTTCAACACTCCAGAGCCAACAGCAATGCAAGAACCTCTGGTGGGCAGCCAAAAAAGAAAAGCAAGGAAAACCAAGATTACCCACCTTGTCAGGACTGCTGATGGCCGCGTATCACCAGCAGGAGGTACTTTGGGTAAGAAAAGGGAGCTTTTAGGTCAACATATCTAGAGCCAGCAGGTAGCTGTCATGGTCACATTAGTCAGCAAAGGTATATAGGCCAGCTGTCTTTCCTTATTGAAAAATGGGTCTGTTCTATAGCTTCCTATAAGGCCTCCATACCCATTTTTGTTCCCACTTTAAATCATAGCTACTTTTCTAAGAGTATATCTGAATTCCTAGAAAGGAAAGATAATTTTTAGGACTGTCAGCTTCTTTTCCTCAGCATGTACAAAATGAGTCTTGATTAAGTAAATCCCAAAAGAGCTTCGACTTTCAGGGATACTGGATGAATCTTTGCTATTCATGTCATTACAGCCAGATTTATCAGGTATTCAACCTAATAGACTAAGGAATCTTAAAATGCATCTAGCATTTTCTATAGAGCTGACTCAGACTACTCCAGGAGTCTGAAATGCATCTGGAATTTTTTTTAACTTTTTTTAAATTTTTACTTTTTAGTTCTCTAGACCAAAAATCCAGTACATTTCTCCTTTTTCAGTCATAGTCTGTGGCTTGTATTTGTTGATTTTGGTCTCCCTAGCAATAGAATTCCTGGCTTTAAGATAAAGGTTTAAGGCAGTGAGTGCTATTGATCATTATTATCCCCAGAGAAACCTTGAGGATGCTATGCCAGCTGGGCAGTAATGTTCTAAGCCGTTGCTCGTCAGCCCCTCTGTCATTTTATTTTGTCTGGTTTGGGTTGATCTAGTTTTTCAGTGAGATGACAGAATTAGAAAATTGTTAATTTTGTGCACATGTTCTTATGTTTTATATACATTAATTAATAGAACCATAAGCACGTTAAATATTCTAGATATTTTTCTCTCTTATATGAGATGGAATCTACCAAGTTGAGTTATATGTCCGAATGCATTCTACTAAGTAGAAGTAGGACAAAGTCTGAAATCTTGAAGTACTGATAGTAGTCCAACAGGCCTCTCCTTTCCTTCCCAATCTTGGTTCTGTTCTGTGACTGTTATATCCTTATTTACTTGTGATTGTCCATTTTCATTTGTAGAAGAACTGAAGATTCTAGGAAATAGGTTTTTTTTAGGATTTTATTTTGTTAACATATATTTGTTGTACAAAGAAGGTTGTGAGATTCCCATATAGTCATACAGTGTTTCCCATATAGTCATACAATGTTTCCCACTCAAACTTACCCTCATCATCTCTCTCCCTTATCCATCCTCCCACTTTTTTTGTTTTTGTTTTTTTGGAATGTTTTTATTATTTTTAAGTAGTTACACAAAGGAATTGCCATTCAACAAGGCAGTTTATGAATACTGTACCTCTAGATCACCCACCTACCTCCCAACCCACCCCTTCCCTCACTTTTCTTAATTTTTATATTATGTATGGAATTAACATTATCAACAACAAGCTTTATCATTCTATTTTCATACTTGTATATAATATACTTCAATTATATTCACCTTCATATGCCCTCTCCATTAGCATTACCTACTGGTACCTGCCACCCCAGTCTGTTTTACTTTCCTGTCATTTCATGGAGGAATGTGCCATGCATTATTTTCATCCTGATATGTGAAATTGCTTTTCTCTTTGTTCATATTTAAAATCCAAGATAAAGCCAGCTGTATTGGTGTACACATGTAATCAGAGCACTTTGGAGACTGAGGCAGGAGGATCGCAAGTTCCAGGACCACCTAGAGTGGCATAATGAGATCCTACCCAGAAAATAAATAAATCAACTAAATAAGCAATCCTTCTTCTATAGTGTTTGCATAATAAAGCATTCTCATTTCCAACAGGTAGAGTTGCACAGTACCTTCATCTGCCTCTTCATAAATATCAGAAGATCCTTTCTCTTCTTTTTAGTGTAGGTCTTCAGAACAAAGCATGGGATCTTACTAGAATTGATCTTATGAGGATTAATCCCTTAATTTTTGTGTTTCTTACCAAATGTTCAAGTTGCTGTAGTAGGACAGACATAGCATGGCTCCCTAAGAAGTATTTAGTCGAGGGTCTCAACTACAGAAATCCCTTGGGCTTTATTTTAGCCAAAGCTTATTTTTCCTTCAAACTTGACCTTGAACAAAACATAGTTTATCTTCCGCTCAGCTTCAGGGCACAGCACTGTCTGTCCATGGTTGCAAGTTTCAGTTGAGCTTAATAAAAGTGCTTTGTCATTGTACAAGAGATTCTGTGAAAACCTTAATATTCAGTGTGGAGCAGAAGTGAACAGAAAAGCATGCTAACTCTTTCACTTTGTCTGGCACAACATTTCTCAGCAACCCTTCTCTGGAGAGCAGACTGATGCTTTTATAATGGATTTCTCTTTTGTTACAGATGACAAACCAAAGGAACAACTGCAGAGGAGTCTCCCTAAAGCAACTGAGACAGACTGCAATGACGACTGTGTACACAGAGCTGAGGCCGGGGAGACACGGAGCAGCACTCCAGAAATGCCTGCTGTGTCTGCGTTCTTCAGCCTCGCTGCACTGGCAGAGGTAGCAGCCATGGAGAATGTGCACAGGTTAGTGTAGAGTGTGAATGGAGAAATCAATGTGGAAACCTTTGATCTGGCTTGTGGCATTTTTACCACTTACCAAGGTTCTGATTTAGATCAAAGGTACCTTGGTTTATATGAATTGTTCTAAAAGTACATTTGCTAATTATCCCTATAGGAAAACCCAAGGGAACAATATTGGCTGTAGTTAAACTTGATTTTCATAGAAAGCCTGAGCACAAGGAAACAGTATTATCTAGTAAGTGTGATACCAAATGGAAATTTGAGTCCTATCTCAGTCATCTTAAGCATGAGCATTAACCTCTCTTGCCCTTAGATTTTCTTTTATGAAATGGGTGGGTGGCACTCATTTCACAGAGATGACTGACATATCCCAGTGCTTGCAATTAGGAAATGTATCTATTGGAGATGGTGGTAGTAGTGTCACCAGCTATCAGAACAGCGTGGTTCAGGAGAAGGGAGTATCTTGTCATCTGACTCAGTGTGCAGAAAGCTGGATTTCTCTTTGACTGTGTGATTTGCTGTAGAGTAATTTATTTCTCTGTTCCTCAGTTTGCTTATTTTAATTGCATATGATGTAAAGTATATGCCAAGGAATCACAGAGTTGTTCAGATCAGATGAGATCATAGTAGTGAAAATCCTAAAACTCTTTGACCTTGACAAAGTCCCACAGAAAGTATGCTAAGTTCCAAGTGTATAATTGAGTATTCTGGTACTTATTGGGTCATTTGGGAAAGCAGTACAAGCCTTTTGTAAGGCCAGATTTTTTTTTTTTTAATCCAAAATGGAGTAGCCATGCATGAGTATCTTTCTTAGACTTTGAATCTAAAAGCTCTTGAAGCCTGTCATAATCTGAATAAGCACCTGTCCGATTTTATGCCCTTTCTCACATCCAGGAAATCCTGGTGGTCCATATATGAGTTTTGCTTTCTTTTTGTTCTTTACCTGTCATATTGCAAATCTACTGTCTCACAGTCTGTATACATTTCTAAGAAGAGGAGAAGGTGAGGGTTAGAATGCAGTCAGAATTCAATATATAGCCTACAATTTAAGAAAAATGAAGGAAAGGATGGGTGAGAAGGTTGAAAGGGATGACATAGATCAAGATGCATCATATACATAAACTGCTTTTTAAATGGCAACTCCTTTGTACAACTACTGAAAAATAATAAAGAATGTACTTCAGTTTTAAAAGGTCACATGTACCCCAGAAATATATAATTATTATTTGTCAATTTAAAATTACATTTCAATAAAAGAAACCACTTTCAATTTTTAGAAAGGAAGAAAAATCCAACTAATATTGATTACTAGCAGTTTGCTATCAAGCTGACAAATGGTTAGTGTTCTTAACATCTAGAAAGACCGATCACCTTGCGGTCTTGTAACTTTAGCCCTTGTCTGTTAAGGCTTACCTTACAGCCAGCCTTATTACCTGGGCTGCTCCCCACTTAATTATTACTTAGGCATCACTTACTTGGTTCACAGAATTAGGGGTAGATATTCACAACCTGAGCTATTGCCCATGAACACAAAACACTCAAGTTCAGGAACTTAACACTGCAGTACAGTTTTACAAAATACAGGAGTTACGTGTGTGTGTGTGGCCAGTCCTGGGGCTGGAACTCAGGTCCTGGATGCTATCCCTGAGCTTTTTTGCTAACACTCCACCACTTGCAACAACTCCACTTCTGGCTTTTTCTTGGTTATTTGGAAATAAAAGTTTCACGGACTATACTGCCCAGGCTGGTTTTGAATGTGATCCTTAGATTTCAGTCTTCTGAATATCTAGGATGAAAGGCATGAGCCACTAGTACCTGGCTTAGGTAGATCTTTGTATTCACATTTTAAAGGTAGTGCAGATGGTTAATTAACTTGTTGAAAGCACCTAGCTAGTTCTCACTTGTTTTAGGAGGTCTTTGGATTCCAGAGTTTGCTCTCTGCTCTAATACACATCCTAAGCACATCATAGACACTCATGAAGAATATTACCTCCAAGTTCTCTCTGTCTCTCTCTCCCTCCCCATCCTTTCTATTTTTTATATTCTGCTTTCCCTTTCCCCCTCCTCCTTTCCCAATACTTATTAAAATTCTCTTGGATCTTTAAATATTATTCGATAAACCTTAAGGCATAAAATAGCATTTCAATTTCATCTTTTCTTGAAAGAAGCTAAACATATTGAACAACTGGTGCTTACAGAAGTCACACATGAATGAACAAATTAATCCAGAGGTTTAATTCTAATACACGTTTTGTTTTTCTAAAATCCTAACTATCTTGTACTGTTCAGTGATCATGGAATCATTCATTCCCCCAAATGCTGTGTCTATATTATTTTTCTTTTTGTATACATGAGGAGAAATTTCAATATAATTATAGAGCTGATGATATAACTTGAATCTTAAAACAACTCCTTTTGTTTGCATACTCTGAAGATAAATACTTTACTGAAAAGTAAAACTTTTTGCACCACAGGGCAGTAGAGAAGACACAGAGGTAGATGCTCATTGCCCACAGTGACAGGCCCATTCGCAAGTTCCAGGGAGGTGCCCATTCCCATCTTTTTACAATGAGAAGATCTGTAGAAATTGCCAAGAATTTTTTTTAACAGTTCTCATAACCCTGGAGCAATCTGTATATTTAACTACCAATTATACAAGAACTAAATAAAAAATTCATTTTCAGCCCTGTCTGGAGTTCTCCCTCCATATGTATATTGATTGTGGCCCAGATAGGCTAGATTTTCTTGCAATCGAAAATCCAGTCAAGTGCTTGCTTCCCACCACCCGCCACCCCGCTCACTTGCTCTCTCTCCCCATCTCTTTGTCTTTTTCTCCTTCTCTCCATTCTTTCCATGTCCCTGTCAGACTTTATAGAAAAGGATTGATTCTTCACTCACTATGTACTCATTGCTTTTACTGGCCTTAAGTTTTAAATTGTGTGTATTGTTGTATATCATTTAAGAAATGAGCCAGGGATTACCAATTTTATAGGAGTTTTCTGTTGGGGAAAATGAAGGAAGGAATGTCATTTTTGGTGTCAGTTCATCAAGAGGAAGATAGTTATCCCAGAACCTTAACCTGTGATTGAAAGTTTTTCACTTCTTAATGAGTTTGAATAGTTTGAAATGGAAGTGTTTAAGTGTTTGGGGCCAGAATGAATGTTGGGCATTGAGATTTTAAAAAAAAAAAATGCCTCAGCAAAAGAAAAAGAAAAATGAAGAAAGCAAAAAATAAAACAAGTAAAGACAAACAAAATTAGTTTTAATAATGTAAGCAACAAGCCAGCTTTTGCTTTTTGCCATCATTACCCATTGTGTTCTCATGCATCTGATGCTGCACCTTCAGTGATTTTTTTTTTTCTTCTCTTGTGTTACAGAGGTCAGAGGTCAACTCCGCTCACCCATGATGGACAGCCAAAAGAAATGCCACAGGCTCCTGTACTTATTTCTTGTGCTGACCAGTGATGCACCCTTTAATTGTAAAACATTGTGCTTTACCTACTATCCTAGCCTTGTCTTTACCAAGGGATGCTAGTGAGTCCATGTATGGAAAATATAAACTGCAAACAAGTGCTTGTTGCCCTACATGGCCCAGATTCACTTGAAGCAGAAGTTAGCATCCTGGGCCAGTTCTTTCAGAACCCAGAATCGTTGAGGGCATCGTTATCAGTCTGATAATGAGCAGAAATAGAATAATCCTGGAGCTCCGCTTTCCATTGAAGGCTTTTGGCGGTAATAGGTGGTAACTTGGTAAAAGGCTGCCTTTACTGTAGCTCACCCAGCATCTCTTACCAACGAGAGAGTGTGAAACTAGTTTCATATATTACCTAGTTATTCTTTCAAAACAAACAAACAAAAAAAAACAAAAAAACAAACTGACGCACTGCACTAGTTATTATTAGATATTCTTAGTCTTTTTTGTACATGGAGATTTAAGTTCTAAGATGGTTTATATAATAGGTTATACCTACATTTATATTGTAGAATAAATATTAAAATGCCTGTTCCTGAGACTCCCAAGCAGGGTGGCAGGCAGCAGATGTACCATTGTTAGCGGTGTATGCTCGGCCTCGTGGTCCATAGATTCTGCACTTTTATATTTGCCACCAGAGTGGTAATTTGCTGGCAAAGAGATATGAGAGAGAAAGGAGAGAGAGAGAGAGCGAGAGAGAGAGAGAGCGAGAGAGAGAGAGAGAGAGAGGAAAAAGAGTTACAATTCTTACAATCTGAATTTTTTCTTAGCCTTGAGAGACCAAGAAGAATTTGCTTGGGGCAAATTGTGGCAAATACTTTCCCATACAAGGGAAGAGTCCTGCAGATTACAGATTCCTGGTGTTTTCATGCCTTGAGGATTCTTCACTTTTTACACAGAGGTCTCTGTGACCAATGGATCGTTCATACAAACAAACAACAAAAAAAGACAAAAATATTACTCAGAAGTGACCTTAGTATTACTTCACTATTCTATACACATTGAAGACACTCCCTTCATGTGGACCTTTTCCATCCATCAGACAGACTGGACGGGTTGCGATTGCTATGCACAGCCGAATTGGCACTATAGGTTTTTAGAGAGCCATTTCAAGTTTGTGTTGTTGAGGGGAGGTATTGAGTAAAGGATGAGGGAGGCATGTCTGAGGAGGGCCTCTCAGTCAGATCACCTGCAAGTTTCTGTTTCCTTTTTATGTTTTGTTGCTTTTAAACATAACACCAACTATCCATATGCTAGTGCCAAGTGGATTAACTGGCTCAGAACATTCAGCATATTGGCTTAACCACCTGACGTTCACAGTGTCTTGTTTCCTAGCAACAGATGCAAAGTGATAAATCAAAATTAGTCTGAGGCTGCAGATGTTACAGGGTATTTGTTCCATAGCACAAAGTATTCCCCCACTCTCGTGTCACAGCACAAACTACCAAATTTTAATTATTGGATTCCAGCAATAATTTTTAATGGTTTTCAAATGGGCAGAGTTTTGATAGTGCTAGTTCAAGTTTGAAGCTTTTGAATTAGATCTCTAAATGGTGACAGTTTACATGGTTTTACCTAGCTTTCTTATTTATACTTGACTGAATTGTAATGATTTTTTTCTAATTGTAATTTGACCTAATAGCCATATAAAAATGACTCTCTTAATACTGACTAGGTTTAGCTTCTCATGGTTGTAGATATTACTTCAGTTTCGGTGCTGAGAAATATGTACAACGTTCTAACAAGATTATAAAATGATATCGAGGGCTTTTTTTTTTTTCTTTCCCCAAAGCAAGTGAAGAGGACAGCAGAACGTTAGAATGGTATCCTCAGAAATGCATATTCATTGTGGGGATAGAGGAAGTAGGAATCAACAAAGGGTTAATCAGTGGTTATAAGTAACCCCATTCACTTAAGTGAACAGCCCCAGTTTTTAGCATACTATTTTTACTATGATACTGTTTTGTTAATGCTTTTAAAATTTCAAAACAAAAAATGAATGTTTGAAAATTGCTGGGTCCTGGTGTTTGGTGGTGGTTTGGAGTTTTGGACCGCTTGCTAGCAATGATTTAAAAATTATAATTAGCTAAAATCCAAAAACAAATAAAAAAGTAAGAACCCAACAACAGTTGTATGGTGCAGAACATGCATCTTGACAATGGTACTAACTTGTTATTCTGTAGAACACATTAGAATAGATCTATTTTTGCCAGAGCACCCTCCCTCAGTCCTCCAGTTACATTTCACTAGAGTTCCTTAAGAGATTGCTGTATATTCCTGGGACCTTTTTTTAAAAGAAGAAACAAAAGATTACTTTTTTCTATGTGATTAATATCTTACTTGATCTGCTTTTCCTAAACCTCAGTGGCTTTTCCCTTAGGCGGGAGTTAGGGGTGGGAGGGCAATTTACTGGATATGACTGTTTTCAGATACTTTAAAACAAACCTTTTTGTAGAAATGCTTAATTTTTAAGCAGTTAGGCACTGAGAGTAGCAGAAATCCTGCAAAGCTTTATAGTTCTTTAGGCGCTCGCCTTGTCGTTTCTCTGAGTGAAGTCTTGATTTCAGTACCAGTGCTTCTTATGCCCTGAATCTGCTCAAGAGGGGTGTTGATGTTTTCAGGTAACAACATTTGTTAGCACAAATACTTCAGACCAATGTGTAGTGTCCAGACCCTACTTATCATTTCATTTCATTTCATTTCTCTCATTTTTTTTTATTTTGGGAAATCATATTGGTGTGGTGTGTACGTTTAATCTGCCAGCAAATACCATCTACACTAACATTTGTCCCACAGTGTCCTGGAGAAAAAAAATTGTTGCACCTTATGTATATCTCAAACAAACCAAAATGTGATGCTCTTCTGCTTTGTTTTATTCTAAATTGTTGTATCATATCTTTCTGAAACCATTCTGGATTTAGTTGAAATTATCGATATTTATGCTCTTAATCTTAATTTCTGGATTCAAACCTGTATATAAATCTTTTGGGAAAAAATTGTCGTAGCCCTTCTCTGCAATGCTGGAAGTGGAAGATTCCGTCTCAGATAGAGACGCAGTACTGTTCCAGTTTTCTTTAGCCTTTTATTTATTTAGTTATTCTGGGTTATTTCCTATGTAATTTTGTGTAGAGTATATTGTAAGTAACTAAAACTGCAGCTCTAAGAAGCGGAGTGAAAGAAAAATACTGTAAGAATCCTTGAAGTTATTATTTGTTGGGTACTGTATATGAGATCAGGAAAAGGAAAAATGTCCCACACTCCCACTGCAAATTCAGGTTCTTGCACCCAAATTAGGCTAGTCCTTGAGTTTATATCAAAATTCTTCAATTCATTAAACCCCTTTTTGAGCGGTGAATCATAGTATTGTAATTCTGATAGTCTTTTGCCCCACAAATATCAGAAATGGTTCTGTCCTATCAGACGTGGTCCCAAAGCCATACAGGAATAATTCCCGTGTAATTGTTACTCTACTTCCTGCCATTGCAACTAACAGAAGAAAGATAGTGAGGGAACACTATGAACAAAAAGAAGCATCTGAACTGGGCTGGTGGCTTAGACTCTGACATATTCAATCCCTGTTGTTTTCCTGCTAAGTAAGTCAGATGCTATGTGAAGTCATAAAAAAAATTGCACTCTGCAGTCTTTGGCTCAATGTATGGAAGTGTTTGCACATGTGTAAAATTGCTATAGAAGTTCACTGCAAACGGAATGACATTTGTTTATAGGGTAGGGTAGGGAATACTAAATAGCTCTGTTCCAACCAAGCTTGGCATTTTGGCATTAATGTGAAGCAGTGGGACCATGCTGCCTGCTCAACTACTGTATGAGTCCGAATCGTTCTGAAGACCAGCAGCGGGAGGCTGGAAGAGAGCACCCACACCACACGGAGAAGCACCACCGCCACTGTGCCATCACAGGAGAAAGGAAGAAAACCAGAGGCCTGGGGTCATCATTTGTAAAGGGAATGTGGGGGTGTACAGGATGCTGTTGAGATTCCCCTTTTGATTGCACTGCTCCACAGAGCCCCTGTGTAAGGCCAATCCTGTTGGGCTACCTCGGCTTTTAAAGTTCATTTCAGTAAGTCCTGTTTCACAAGTTTTGTCTTTTTTTTTTTTTTGCTTTTACCTTCAGTGCCACTATTTTCCACTGCAGTGTTTTGACTTTATAAATCACCTTCTTCAGAGAGAACAATGTATTGCCGGAAATGGGCAGTCGACGCAAATGCTGTGCTGTTGTTACATTTGACCTATAAAGTATTCAGAGTGACTAGGTGGAAATTAAAATTTAGCTTTTCTCCCACTTAGGTCTTCGTTTTGCACCTTATACAAAGTGTACTAATGGCTAATTAGATGTTGCTTTTGTTTATACAAGCATTCCCAGAGTTAGCTTTGTACTTGGTTGTATTTGAGTTTGGGGATCCTTAAAAATTAGATTCACTAACAGCATACCTATCATGAAACAAAGAAGCCGTTGCTAGTTCATTGAACCAGATGTGTCTGATGAAGCTATGGGGTTTGGTGGACTGCTAGCTTTAATTTGGAAGTGACAGCTAAGTTCATTTTGCTTCGTATTCAGTGACTTTGTCCTTGTCACCAAGGACATTATCCTCCCATTTCAGAACAAAGAAGCAGCAAAAGATACACTTGACTTCCTCATACAGCTCATCTGTCTGTGCCACACTTCCCTTCAAATACATGAATAGATATTTTCTGAGGAAAAGAAGTTTCCTTTCTGACCAAATTTTACCTGTTTTATTATAATTTATACTAAAGCAGAACTGTGTAGTTCATAAAGTTCTGTGGCCACTGGTTTTTTTTTTTTTTAACTTTGCCTTTTTCTTGGCAGTCAGTGGTCAAAACTGATCATGCCCCCTTGAAATTGGATTTTTATGTACAGAACTAGTTATTGTAAACGTTACTGCTCCTTCCAAAGATTTCCTGATAACTTGGGCCAGAACAGGTTCTTGAATAACAAGACTAATCAGATGCCTCCAAACCCCTTGTACCACAATGCAAATCTTACCTCACAAACTCTTAACGTAAATCGCAGAGACACATATGTTTCATGAATTATCACTGAGTTCTCTTTGTGGCCCACCAGCAAGGGTGGGCTCATGTCCCCTGTCACTTGAGTGCCTCGGCTCTAAGAGCAGCAGAACCGAGGGTAGGGAAGGTTTGCAATCTAGAGCTCAGTAGATGGCTCAGCTACATTTGGGGGAGTGGGGGAGGGAGGTTGTTGGTTTCATTTCATTAGCACCAAATCCTTTTGTTCTCAGGAATATTCTCTCAGAGAATAAAAGTACCTGAGATGCAACATACCAGATTCTGAGCTTGCTCATAGGTTCAAATTGCTTATTTACATGTCATAAAATCAACCATAGCTCATTTGACCACCTGGTCTTAAGTCTGTTGACAAGTTCAGCATGACTTAATCACCTTTTTTATTTTGTTTTGTTTTGCTTTGAGAAATTGGCTTGGTTCTCTTTAGAATTGGTGTAAACATGCCATGTAATAAATGATTTCCACTTAATGGTACAACAGAATTATTGCTTTCTTAGATGTATGTGTAGTAAAGTCAATATACACATTTATATAATTTCTTCAAAATCTTATACCTAATTTGATATTTCTAAAAATTGCACATGTATGTCATGTGTATAACATGCTAAAGTACTTTAACTGTGATCTTAAAACAATAAAATATTTAATAAAAATTTGAAATATTTTAAAGATATTCAAATATATTTCTTTATGTTCACACTACCGGCTTTTCATCTACCATATCCACTAAATACAGAAGAAAAATAATAAAAATTACATTCGACTATTTCATCAATTGATGGTCTCCCCTTAAAATGCAAGTCTGTGAGATTCACTCACTACTCTCGGAGGAGTTGTTATTGATTTCCTTACTGTAGAGGAATTGAGTCCAGCAAAAGAAAGAAGATATTTGGTCTTCCATTTGGAACAAGAGCCTTTGGGGCATCTCTGCGAGAATAGATCTGAATGTGCTATCTTTCCTGTACCATAGCACAACTATATAGATGTGAGATCACTGAGACCATGACCAACAGTATAAACTCAGACTTCATATTTGCTGAATGCAGTATTCCTGAACCTTAGAGCTTTTGGTGGTGGTGGTGGTGGTAGTGAACTCCATTGGAAACTATCAAGCAGGCTTTGTGATCTTTGCTCTACGTTCTGGATCCACCTGCTGGTAATTATTGTGTTTTTACCATTTATCTATAAGAGTATTATATAAAGCTGTTGGCTGTAGAACATAAGTTTTTCTTGAAAAAGTTGGCATGTTTCTTGTATTTGAGAGATATTGAGCATGGTGATACATGCATATAATCCCAGAACTGAGGCAGATGAATTCAGAGTAACAGGCCAGCGTAGTCTACGTACTGAAACGCTTGCTCATATTACAGCTCAGAAGCAAGGTGCCAGCAATTCTTTCTAGGGTTCCTAAGTGGAGAACTAGAAAAATGACATTTGCAGGATTTCATTCTAGTCAGAAGCAGCAGCTCTAGCCACATGAACAGTGTCCATATACTAAGTTACCTAAGAAGTCACTGGATCTAAGGCTTTTGTTTTTTAATATTATTGTGCCATGCTGGTTGGTCACATCCTATTTAAGTGAGGTGTTAGTCAATCAAATGACCTATCATGTTGTTGTAGACCTGAAATTAATCCTCCATGAGTTCTGTCGAGGGTTCCTACCCCCAGGATCTTGGGGAAGGCTGAAAATTGGAAACCAGGAGGGATGGAGGGAGAAAGTTTTGCTCCCTATGGCTGAGGGTTTGGTTTTGTTTTTAAAACAGGGTTGTAATTTCCAGGGGTTTTAGTGTCAGGTCAGCAGTGATTTCTCCTGGGACCCTGGGCCCTGATTCATCTACGCAGCCACCTAATTCTACCCATTTACCAGTGGCTAACATCTGTAACTGTAGCTACTTGTGATGTAGATCAAGGAAATCCTGGTACCAGGCTAGCCATGAAAAAAAAAAAATTCAAGAGACACTGTGTCAACAGAAATAACTGGTCCTGAAGCTGTAGACGCCAGTCATCCAGCTACAAGGGAAGTATAAGTAGGAGGATGGGGTTCTGCCTCAAAAGCCAGAGCAAAAGGGCTGGAGTCATTGCTCAAGTGATAGGATAGCAGCCTAGCAAGAGTAAAGTCTTGAGATCAAACCCCAGTCTTATCAAAAAAAGCTATGACTTCCTCTTCGAAATAAATTTTAAAGGAGTTGGTACTTTAGAACCAGTAAGTAGTTACTGGAGATTTGATGGTGT